TCAGCCCTGTGTATGGAGGGACGGTGCCAGAACATGTGCAGGCAGCTGCTGGCGGGAACAGGAGGATGTGTGGAGCACGAGAAGCAGCTGCCAGTCCTGGCTTCTGTGGTCTCTGAGCTGCTGTGCATGTGACTGCTGTACACACAACCACCGAGGGCCAGGGAACAGAGGATAGTTGGGGGCTCCAGGTAGCCAAGTAGGCTCCAGGCAGCACCCTGCTTGTTCTAAACATGTTGGGACGGCCCAGACTAGCCTGGAGCTGAGGTGCTCCATACGAACAGGCCTGCATACACTTGAGCCTGCATCAATGAGTGGAAGAGAGGGCAAGGGGCTGTTTGTTCCTGTTCACTGCTCTGCAATGTTCCTGTCCCCTCTGGCAGCTTCCCTGGGGCTGCATCACCAGCCACAGTGCAGTTGGCACAGTGCAGCCTGCCACGTTGGCACGGTGGGAGCTGCATGAAATGCTCAAAAACCACAGCAAGAGTGCTCAAGACAGAGCTCAGGCCAGGATTTATTTCTGTGGGCATAGGCAGGGGCAGAGTAAGGCTTGCCATGGTTGCCCAGTGCCCACGAACCACTGAGGCAAGGCTGGGAGCAGCCACTTGTTCAAGGTGACAGTAGCAGCTAGGAGCACAAGGGACCCTGCTAGCCTGTATGTCCCAGCTCTCAGGGGATGCTGCTGCCTTACAGTGCTTGGGAAGCAAATTGGGGATGGGCAGGGCTCAGCATGGGGTCAACAGCTTGCTGCAACCAACCAGCCACAACCCAGTGTTGAGGTCAGCATCACCACTGCCATCAGAGGTGCCTGAAATCTTTGATGGCCACATGGGCAGCATTGCGTCCTGCAGCTCCCATCACCCCTCCTCCTGCAAGAGAGCAGAAATGGGGAGTGTAGGTGCACCTCTTCCACATGTGTCTGCAGAACCCCAGGAGAGTCCTGGCTCTCAGCCCTTCTCACCAGGGTGTGCTCCACTTCCACACAGGTACAAGCCAGGAATTGGGGACCGGTAGCCAGAGTAGGATGGTGCTGGCCGGGCAAAGTACAGTTGGTCCAGAGACATACCTCCATGGAAGATATTCTACCAACAGAGCTCTGTGAGCTGGGTTTGCCTGGCCCAGGACTGTGTGCCTACCAGCATTGGCACCAGAGTGATACTTAGAGATGACACACATGGTACCCACCCCACCAGGCAGCCCGAAGACCCTCTCCAGGTCTGGTGGTGTCAGGATGTCCCTGCCAATGATGGATGCCTTGAACCCCGGGGCATAGTCTTCGATGCAGTCAAACACTAGAGAAGGATGAAGGGACTGGTGGGCAGCTTGGGGAGGTATGATAGCAAACCCCCATGTAGCTCTAGGGCAGCTCTGCCCAAGAGGGACCAGTGCCCCTGGTATTACTGAGGTCTGTGTATACATTACATACCTGTGTTTGCATATGCATTTCTGGCCTGCTCGTCCCAGGACTGCCCACCCGCCAACACAAACGGGGTGTACTGGGTGAAGAGGGACACAACATGACAGCCTCGTGGGGCCAGCCCCGGGTCCAGCACTGAGGGGATGCAGAGCTCAATCATGGGCCTGGGGAAGCAGTACACCAGCTGGGCAGGCAGAGGGAGGCTCAGCCACCCCACACCTCTTCCCACAGCACCACCTGCCATGTCTGTCCTGTCCCTTCCCTGGGGCACCAAGGTGTGCCTGTGCAGACTCCTACCTGCTGGAGGGGTGCCCGTGGGTGGCCTCAGTGAACGCCTGATGCAGAAGGTGGGTGTCCTCGCAGTTGAGATGTATAGAGCACTGGTGGTGGGGCAGGGGCTGGTCGTCGCGGGCATTGGGGGCAGC